TCCACTCAGGATGTTTTGCTTACAAACCATTCCATTAAATGATCGTAGGCTTGCAGACTTGGCTGTTGTGGATACCAACGCACTTCTGGATGTCAGTAAATAGTTGCTCTTTGCTTCCACCTTTGCTACTGAAATTCCATCATGCGAGAAAAAAAAACAGATCCTCAGTGTCATGTTGGGAATGTGTTTTACCCAGGACATGAAAGAATCGCAGACGGAAATGATGGTAAGTAAACATCTAAACGGGATCCAAACGGGAACAGGAGGGACTGGGATCTAAACAGGAAAGCAAACAGGTGTTAGAATCACGAAACCCTGGAACCATAACTAGAATTGTTTGGAGAGCTATTCTAACTGGAGATGATCGGTCTTGGTGAGGCAGAGCTGGGTCTTTGGGACCAGGCGGGGACAGACAAGCAGCAGAGTGTGAGGATGCAGGACGGGACGAGGAAACGGGCCGCGAGGCAGGCTATGATGCAGGTCTGGAGGTTGGTGGTTAGGCAGGCTGGGAAGCGGGCAGGATGACAGGCGGGCGGAGGAGTGCGAGGAGACCAGGGGGATGGTGAGCAACGGGATGTTGGACTAACAACTCCAGACGGCGGTGGGTAATTCCTGTGAACAGACGAGCAGGAACCTTCAGGACTCGGTAGATCGGGGCAGACTGGAACGGGCAGACAAGATTAAAACTGAACAACAAACTAGAACTGCGACTGGCTAGTGTTTACCCAAGATGCAAATATCAACCGGTACTGGAGTTGAGCCACACCGCTCCTTAAGTACCCCTGGCCCTCTGATCAGGGAGATCGGGAACAGCTGGCTCTCCGACACGCCCACCTGTTAACACAGAACTGGGAAAACTGCAGTGTATCAAGTGAAATCAACCGTGAGCAGGGCAGACCGTGACACTCAGGCCTAGTCCACACGTAGCCGGGTTTTTTTAAAAACGAATATCCGCCCCTCCAAAAACTTGCATCCACACCACCGCGTTTAAAAAACAGACTCTGTCCACACGTACCCGGATAAATACGTTGTTAAGGACATACCAGACCTGTAGGCGGCAGTACTTCCCCCGTTCTTAACCTCGTCCTTCGTCTGTGGTCTTCCACAAGGAGCAGTAATTCCTCTTGCAAAAACAAACAAGCAAAAAGCACTTGGACAATTGATAAAGCGAGCGCAGCTCTGAGGGCATCCATGCTGTCGGCTAGTGTAAACACAGGTCGCACACGTGATGTCAGCATGTTTTTGTCGCGGAAAGTGACGTTGCGGACCTTAAAACTCTGGTTTTGTCTGTCCACACGCAGACACCCAAAACGGAGAAAACGCAGATCTTCACTTTGGCCGGAGTTTTTAAAAAGATCAGTTTTCGTGTGGATGACAGGCCAACACGTAGAAAAATATCTATGTTTTGGCAGATCCCCGGCTACGTGTGGACAGGGCCTCAGATGCCCCCCAACCTGTCTGGGCCTGAGTTTAAACAAGACGCACATGAAGCAAGGTTGAGGAGTTTGGGTTAAAGGAGGACACAATGTTGGATATAACTGCAGGGGCTCTGAAGATTTTCTTGAAAAAAGTATTTTCTTTACTTCCTCAAATTTAATTAAAACAGCATCATGTAAAGAAAAGAAAATAACCTAAAATATCTGAAAATGCCCCAAACTTGTCTGGATCCCAGTTTAATTATGATGGTTGAGGAGACCCCCCCCCCCCCCCCCCCCCCCTTGTTGTCTGATGAATCAAACATTTAAATGCTTTTGCAAGTCGACTGCATCATCAGAGCTCAAGAGGAGAGGAACTATAGTGTTGGGCTGAGATGGACGGTGCATCCTTCTATCCAAAGGTAGGGTTGAGACTGCGCTGTGGGGAAGGAAACACTAAAAAAGGGGTCTTGAGAAGTTCTTCAGAGGTCAAATAAAATGCAAAAATACTTGCAGATGCTTTCGTTTTACCATCATCTCATCAAGAGGTTCCAACAGTTGCTATTCTTCAATTGATCCTTTTTTTTTTTTTTGTTAATGCAAGGTTGGGTTGTCTCCAGGATAAAAGTCCAGGAATCCCAAATACAGAAAAACTCTTCAGCTTCTTTTGAGGAATCCCAGGACATTCCCGGATCTGCTGAAAAGGAAAAGGAAGACATCTAGGAAGCGTCCTACTCTTATTCCTTAAAGGGATACTTTACGGCTTTTCCACATTTCTAAATCATTTTCTTGAACTGCTATGTGCTAAAATGACCCTTTACAGCGGGGGCGTCAAAATAAAAATTCACACAGGGCCGAACTGAAAAACGGGGAGAAACTCAGTAGTTGTTGAAAAAGTGACGGCAAATGTGCACGTTTCCCTTTACCTACAGATATTTGTTGCTGAATCTTTTCCTTTGGAAACAAACGTTTATTTTCATAAACACTGAATCTGGTGTGGCCAAACTGAACATGAGCAAGTAAATCTTAAATAAAAGTTATGTCTCATTATATTTTTACTCTTTTTATTCCTTAAAATGTGAATGGATTCAACTTTTTTTTAACCTTTTGAATCTTTTAAGTGTTTCTATTTTTTGGTTTACTCTTCATTCTTATTTTTTATTCTCCATTTTTGCTCCTGTAACACGTGTTATTGCTGATGGGACGCCAAACTTTCCCCACTGAGGGACAATAAAGGGACTTTCTATTCTATTTCTACTCCTCTATCTGTAGCCTTTCCAGTTCTGGTTTTAAATTAGTTTTAATCTGTTTTTTTACAGGCCAACAACAAAAATGAAAATATCTCAGCTATTAACATTCATGCTTTGGATAATTCAAGCTCAGTTTGCTCCACTCTGATTTACTCTGATGCTCACCTGTTCAAGCCAGACGCCTGCGTGGGCCGTGTTTTGTTCATCAGAGACAACCGTATGTGCCTGCAGTGTTATGTTAGATATGTCAGTGGTTATCAGGGTTGCTATTCAAATGTAATAACTCAACATTCTGTCGGTATCACAACATCGCCATGGATGTAATTTGGGGGGGGGACACATGTCCCCCCCACTTTTTCCAAAGTGAAGTTTTGACCCCTGCACTTTTTAACCATCCAAAAACAATATTACGCTATATTAAATTGACACTGGTTGAGCTCTAGGACCAAGCGGAAAAGCCTGTTTCCCATTAGAGTATACTGTAAAGACCCCCATCCCCCCCCCTCCCCCCCCCACCCACACACACACACACAAACACACGCACACCCCACACCCCCGTGTCCCCCCCACTTCTAAAGTGAAAATTACATCCATGAACACCGCAGTTTCACATGAAGACTGTAGCTGAACTGGCCTGCCTGCAGTTCAGAGCACACACCACAATAACATGAATTATGATAAAAAGTGTTGAGAAGCTGAAATATTAAGTCAAATAAGAATGAGAACAAGCAACTTTTCATTAACGCTGCAATGGCTAATCTGTAAAACATGCTAGCATTTAAACACAAACACGTTCACCCCTCCTGTCAGGTATCATCCCTAGGCCACATCCCCCTGACATGGGAACACACATTTTCACAGCAAACATAAGAGTGCTGAACACCAGTCGCTGTTTTCTACGTCCAAACATCTTCTGTTGACAGTCAGTGTGGTTACACGCACAACAAGATGGGAGTCTTTATCCTAGTTTACATGTGCATTAGACCACTGGCCTCTCAAATAAAGTTTGTTCCCCTCCGGTACAGTAGGTGGTGACATGCGGCTTCGGGATTCTTCCGGTTAGCTTATAGCAACACAGACGGCAAACATAGGCGGGCAGAAGTGAAGCAGACATAATTGAAAGAAGATATGCACAACGGCTGAAGTAATGTACAACAACAACGCTGCAGTGCAGCTTATTTGGTACGGACTGTCCTGTTTTATGGTGCTACGTGTGCTGCTTTGTGATGATGGTCTTGTCAGAAAACCGCTTCCATGGCCTCGTCCCTTCTGGAAAGCAAACGTCCAACCAGTTCAATTTGGCTAACCCGTTTACATGCAGAAGATGTTCGGATTGGTGCTTCGGCTAATCCTAACCCGAACCAGTTTGCTGTCAGCCAAATGCGTTTATATGCATTCAAAAGATTGATGTGAGTCTTTTTGAGGCAATACTTCAGTTTTCTGATGCACTTACAAACTCACGGAGTGACTTATTTTTTTGGAGACTCTGGTTGATTGTCT